ATATGGTTATGCTTCAAAGCACACAAGATTTTTTTTCAACAATGGACAGTTTTCTTCTCTGTATGTTTTGTTTTCTCCTGTTTTCTTTCGTTTCCATTGTCTTGGGGATTTGGTTTTGTTACCTTGTTTCATTTGTTGGTTTTATTCTGTAAACAGAATTATGACGTGTTATTGTTTTGTTTACCTGGTGAAACCAGCCAGTTGGAATAATTAATAAATCTCCAGCCTGTTGAGTAAAAGAAATCGCTTGTGCTCTGCGGAACTTTGGATACTGTTTATAGTCAGGGTTAAAAGCATCTATTGGGCTACAAAAAAATTAATAAAATAAAGTAAAATATTCAGTATACAGAGTTTGAAATATGAAAATGGTTTAATTAAGCCTCAATATGTTTTTTGTCAATCAAATTGTTAACTGCATCATGTCACCCATCATTTGGTAACAAACTAATAATCCAAACTACAAAAGAAACAAAAATCTCAAACGTGATGGGATAATAGGAATCTAACGTAAGCATTAGCAAGACAGTAAACATACCATTCTTATAGATGGACAGTTCACATGTCATACATCATACATAAAAACTTTTTATGTGTATCTGATCAGATACAAGACAAGTTTTCAAAAAATATGTCAAAATAATATCATTTTTTTAAAAGGAGTTGGGGTAATTGTGAAGAACAGCTCCTTGATGATAATATTGTTACCAAAAGATTAGAGACTGTCGGCCATCTGTTGACTGACTGTAATGGCCAACAGATGAGCTTAAAACTGTTGGCTGAAAGTCAGTCCTCTGTGGGCCAACAGTTGCCTAACAGTCCACCAACAGACAGCCCACAGGTTTGTTCCAAGGAGTTGTTCTATAAGTTACCTGTTTGTGTCATTCAAGACAGTTTGGAGCCATACTTCCAAAAAAGGCTGCTTCACTGATGCCTGATTTTCATTCTGATAGTGACTATAGAATGAATTGACAACCACTTGCTCCCATTACCATTAAGACCAAATAAGAAAACTAAACATCATGCACATCAAATGTTAGTAACTACATATGTAATAATGTAATGTTATTTCATTTTTTTGTAGATTTTACCTGTTGTATTTCAAACAATCCAGTGGAAACCCACATCTCTGATTTTTTCTGACATATAATAAATGATCTTGGCCAGGAGGAAAAAGCTGCAAGGAAGATGAAACATTGAAAGAAAGTTAAAGTCACAACAGTGTCTAAGAAAAACTCATAGCCAATCATTAGACAGAAAGCATTTGTACCTTCCACATTTTCTTTCCTCTCAAAACAGCATTTGTACCAGTCCAGTTGTAAGGATCTAAATAAAAACCAAACATGTTTTTTTAGGTTTTTACTGTTGGGAAAGTTGAATTCTGTGAAAACAATGAATCAAGGTCACTGATTCATGATCTATTGGCCTGCTACAAATGACAAAATTAAAGTAATTAAAGTAATCAAGCAAAAATTCATGAGGCATCAAAATCTTGTGATATGAGTTTGCTAAGGTAATTAGAACCTCTCAAAAGTACCTTTGGTCATCTGTCATCTTAATTTAAAAGCCTTACTGAGTTGTCATTTGGAGCCAGAAGGCAATGGAAACCCACTAGCTATCAGACCAATTTGCCCCGGTTACTTTTAAAGACAGAAAGAAAGTATTTTTGAACCAATTCTAGCATCAACATCTGGCAAAAAAGTTAATCAAACATGTCCCAGAATGCTGGAAAACAAGGTTAATAGAGTATGCCCCCAGACCCCCTTAATTGGGCTTGTTGCTAATGCAACATGCCATGTGTGCTGAGCAAATACAATTCAATTCAGCCACCAACTCTGTTCAGATTCTACATCTATAACCTACATCTCCAAGTGAAAACCCTACCACAGATTGCATCAACACATATTGGACAAACATCGGCTATAGAGACTCTCCATGGTGGCCAATTTATACAGTCCACCCAGATGATTAAACCAATCATCATATAATGTAACCTTGGTCAACCTAAGCAAATTGCCAAGCTTGAAAAATGTTGATAACTATTGTTACCCTTCACAGCAATGACAAAAAAAATGAAATTAAAAATAACAAAACAGTATTATAATAACTTTGTACCTATGTGAAGAGACGACCTTGAGTGGGCTGTACCCCAGAGGAGCATAGCATTCCATGGTCGAATCTCTTTTGGTAACAACTGGAAGAAGTCTTCCCTCAAATACACCTAGTAAAGGTGTTTGAAAATAAGAGATTCTTATAACATTTGGCATCACTCACAAATTACTTACCACACTCATGACTGTTTAGTCTAAAATAGTAGGCAGATGGCTCTTTTAAAGGCCTGGAAGGCAAGGGGCTGGGGGCATGATCTCTTGGAAAGTTTAAAATTCTTAACTTTTGCAAATCTGTTTTCCTGCATTTAAAGGTCTACATAATGTTTTATTGTTTTCCAAGAAGTCAACAAATCTGAAGTAAATGATATTTATGTCTGTACAATGGCATAATAATTCAACCACCTTACATTCACTAAATAAAAGATGAAATTTAAGATATTTGGCTTATGGCTGGTACATAAAATTTAATATAAAGATGGCTGTAACAATTTAAGCCCACACTGTCACTTAACATTTACATAGAACTATATATCAATAAGCAAGTTCAAACTCATGTATACTAAATGTACCTGTTTATCCTAGGGGGACCCAGGGGCTGTAAATGAATTTAAAATCAGGGCGAGAGAAATCGACTCTTAACCCCCAGGTCTCTGAGGATGTTTCCTGTTCTAAAACACAAAAACTACTCACTGGCTGCCCCAAGTCTTCTCTAAGTTCTGGATTCATTTCAATAAACAGTTCATCTTCCAGGTAAGTCCACAACTCAGGTTGGCCCTCATGTACATGTTCAGCAAAATTCTTCAGGGGTACTGCAAATCCCTGGGCTTTGTTCAGAGGACCCTAGAAGGAACATTCAGAGTAAATAATTCAGTATCAGTTTTGTTTTCATAATTGTATGCAAGTGGGTGGAATTAATTTTACTAAATCCTGGTGCAGCAGCAGGTTGAATTTTTCTCACCCAACCATGTACACAGGTTTTTTCCAAAAAAGACCAAAATCCAGCAAAATGGCTAAAATTACACATGTATTTACTGTGGAAGACATTGAGGAGATTTAAAGGGAGTGGCTGTGCTATAAAATAAACCATTAACCACCATTCAGAGGTAGCCAAGTGGTTTGCATATTGGACCTTAGAGGGAAACATCAAACTGGTAAGGGTTGTAGCATACCTTCCAGGAGATGTCCACATACATCTTGTGACTACTGAGTGGCATAGAAACCAAGCTGTAAGACCTAAACTTCATTGGGTCTAATTTTGCACATATGCACGAGTTACAATATTTTTGGCATGTATCTACTAACCTCAGTGGCTTTCATTGATACTCTCTTGTCTCCATAGTTTCTCACAAGGAATGATTTTGTCCAGTTCATTGCTTTCCAATTTTTCAAGATATCAGTAATCACAACTGGTCTGAAAGTGAAACAAAAAATAGATGAATAACACTACATCAAGTCAACAAGAATCACAGTGATTGACACGGAGGAGGGGGGGGGGTGAGTAGCTCCTAAGATCTTTTAAATCTGAAAATTGTAAGTATGAAAAGGGATCCAAACCTCACTCTTTTGTTGAGTCTTAACCCTTTGACCCCACTGAGTGACTAGCATGTAATTTCTCCTAAAAATATCACCCTGAATCCCATATTAAGGTCATGAGAATAAAGCAAATGATCACCAACCAAAAGAGCTCTTGATTGTGAAAAAAATTCTCCTTGTCAGCATGTTAGGAAATGTTTGAGAGCAATATGGAGAATATGCATTCTTTTGTTAGAGTGAAAAGGGTTAAGGGCTGCTTGGCCCAGGAAGGCAGGTACTGATTACAAGATGTGACTTGGTTGGGATATTAGTTGATAACAGCTACATGCACACTCCTGGAATTCATGAGTTAGTTTCCCTGACATCTTGCTGGTACCCATTTACACTACTGGTAGAAGGAGACATTGTGTTTTGCCAAAGAACACAGCCCAATGGGTCAGCTACAGGTTGGACCTGGCCTGCAAGATCCTGAGTTCAGTATCCCTAACACTAGGTCACCACTTCTCTCCCCTACCCCCTGCCCTCCCCCCCCCTTAAAAAGAAAAAACTGATGGAAAGAATCACAATGCCATACAACCTGAGTTGCCCCTCCATTCTGTTCATTACACCTCGATTTCGTGTCATAGAAAAATATTGCGAACGTCAGGTTCAAGAGTAAAGTTGCTTACTAATAGTCAAGTTTTGGACGCAAATTTTTTCCATCTAATTTGCACTTGTCAAACGAGGAATACCTTTTCGCGTCATAACAACGAATAAACTCCGCTAGAGTTAGATTTGAACGGTGATCAACTGTGGAGGTGTCCATAACTGAACACGGAACTTCCGCATCTTGCTTTGGAGTTCCAGAGAGGCCTGCCAAGATGGAGCTCCAAGTGCGTGGAAAGAATTTACTATTGTTATCAAAATACAGCGAGATGATTCCAGTTAACATCAGAAGAGTAAAAATAAAACATCTCCAAAGCCACTGATTTCGAAGATTTTGGCTGGTTTTCCCAAGTGTCGGCGATAAGTCAGCATTCAAAGTTTTAGACGAATTGTCAAACTTAGACTCTTTAAAATAGGTCGACGGGGAAGACTTTTTTCTCTCCCGATGTCGAGTAGATGAACTTTTAGCCATCATGTACAGCAAAACAAATCTCTAGCCACTGCATTCTTCCGTTCGTTTCCCTCCAGAGTAAATCTCAATCAATATTTTCTTGAGACATTGAAGCGATGAATTCTCTTTCTTTCTACAGCATATTGATTCAAAACCTATCAACACTGGAACCTAGTCATGTGACTACAACAAACATTTGTGATTGGCTAAATTCTTTTCCATAATAAATCTATTTTTTCGCGCTTATTTTCAAACATGGCAGCTTGAAGAAGCAGAGAGAGATTCGCTCACATTGACATAAGGGGATAGTTTGTGGATAAATTCTCCTTGAGGACATGCAAAGATCTTCTCGTATGCAACGTGAACTGAGCATTCTAACAAAAGAGCCACCGCCTGGAATCTCTTGCTGGGCGATTGATGGTCAAATTGACAAACTTCAAGCAGGTTTTTGAGTTTAAGTCCTTCTCACTAATGCACAATAATCTCCCACGCCATCAAAGTGTCTACAATCCTGAAAACTTGACGCAAATGTAAATTTCGTGCGAAAAAGTTGTCATATGTCTTATCTTTCAGAAATTTTAGGTTCAAAAGACACCCCTTATAATGGAGGCTGTTTTAGGCTGGAAATACAAATTCCCGAGAGGTTTGTTTGAAATGGCAGTATTTCCGTAGTTCAAATAGGGTCCTAATCAGAAGGGGGTCCAAGCACCACTGTACACAACTTTCAGTACCCACCTATCTTCAAATAGGTGGGAAGTAATGGATTCTCTATCAGTTTTGACCCTTTTCACGTTAGGATTGGTATTAATATCCATCACACTGCTTTCTTTACACTGGTGATCATTTCCTTTATACTCGTGCCCTTTACATTAATTCAAGGGTGATACTGTCTGGAGAAATTATACACCAATCACTTAAAGGGGTTAAAGGGAATTAACTGTTTGCCTGGCTACTATGTTAAGGATGCCCTAGCAGTTAGAAATATAACAAAACCTTCTTGTGAAACATAACTTTTCCTGATTTTTCTATATTCAAAGTTATTTCATCAGGCAAGTCAAGACTATGCACTTTGTGGCTAATTATACCCCAACGTAAAGGATTAAATTTTATGATGATAACTAATTGAAGTTCATTACCTATAGGTATCCATTTCATCCTCCTAAAGTTCGCTTTGTCACAAAGATCTATCATCCCAATATTGATGGAAGTGGTCGGATCTGTCTTGATACACTTCAGATGCCTCCGAAGGTGACTGTGTAATAATGACAGATTTATCTTAACCATGGTAATATCAGTTTAACTGTACCACTGAAGCTTCCATACAGAATGTGCAGATTGTGAATCTGAAACCATAGAGTTTTCATTTTCTCCATAACTAGGAAGTCACTGACACTGACTGCATTTTTAGACCCAAAAAACTTACATAGCCCTTCTAAAATTACCTTACAATGGCTGCTCACCTGTGAGGTAAATTAGTCTTATTTCCCTCTTTTCCATTTCTTTAGTTATACCACTGAATTATGAAAAATCAAATTAAATTTTGAGATCCACTGTTATGTAGAGCTTTCAACATATGAGTGTTTTACAGAGCTTGCATTTTCATTATTTTCCTTTTTTCATGTTTTTCAGGGAGCTTGGAAACCAGCATGGAACATTTCCACTGTGCTGACATCAATCCAGCTTCTTATGGCAGAACCAAACACTGATGATCCTCTTGTTTCAGAAATTGTAATGAATATTGCCAAATACACAACATTTAATCAATATTCTAATTACATAATTGTGCACATAATTTACAATGGCTGTTTTTGCTCACTTTTTCAGTCTGATGAGTATAAATACAACAGACCACAGTTTATTAAAAAAGCAGAGGAATGGACTCAGAAATTTGCAGCCGGTCAGAAAGTATCAGCTGCATCAGTTAAGGTGCTTATTAACTTTCAGCAACATGTTCACAATGCCAATAGGACCAAGTAGGATCCCACTTGGTTTTCAGTCACACAAGTGATCAACAAAATTGGATGATTGCAAAGCTGAAGTCTTATATAATGATAATCATGGGTATTTGGCTATTGACTGAATAGGTCTTCAGGTTGTGCAAGCTATGAATTATAACACTTACAATTTCTGAAAAAAAATATATACTTATATATATTTTTTTATGAACAGAAGGGCTTGTAATTCCAATCTTTTGTCACTTCATCATTACACTCTTTGACAAAAGCAGAATCTAAAGAAGAAAGGGAAATGAATTGCACCTTTCCTTCAATAATATTATCCTGTCCACTCACAGAAGCAACCAATGAGTGATTTCTGTCAGAGTGTTATATCAGTACTTTGCTGATCAGACAGATAGTGACGGTAGAGAGAAAAGTTTACAATGTCTGGCAGAGTCACAGTGAGGTGAATTGATGCTGAGATCCTGGAGGTGAAAGGAATATGATTATTGATGATTCGGCAGCTGGTTTTTAACGTAACAAGTCACTCCTCAGATGGAACACTCAGCATGACATAATAATTATTGTAGAAAAGCTTTGTGAGAGTCTCTTCAGGTTATATTTGTGTAATTCACATTTTTGGTTATTTTTTGGATCTATCTGCTTCTTTTAGTGAGCAAGATCCTAAACAACCACCTACCTTAAAGAATCTTTATTGTATCTAACTCAATCAAAATTTCCCTGAAAACGCTGTTTTATTAACAGGATTCACTGACTGGGGCAAACAAAGAAGCTGAGGACAACAGTGACTCAGAGAGTGACACCAGTGATGAGGATGAAAATGAAAATGAAAACAAACCTCCTACCCACCCCACCCAGGGTGTCAAGAGAGCAGCACCTGCCCAACTCCCTGGAAAAACCAAAACACTCAGACCAAGTAATTATTAGACAGGCTTGGAAAGGAACTGGAATTGAAATTAATGCTTTGCAAAATTATCAATGCAAGGGGTTGTATGCCTTTGTTTTGTAAGCCCTATATAATGCATGATTAGTTTATAAATAAAGAATGTTGCAGAATGCTATACAATATATTTATAATCTTTTGAATAAGATGAAAATAACATTGATAGTGTTGCTGAAGTAGTGAGAATGTACAGTAATTAGCTATTAAAGGTGTTTTAGATGGAAGTACACTTGACTTACATCAGTCTTTGCCAGCTAAATCCCATCAGCAATTTTTAAGGCAGAAGCAGCCTAAAGACTTAAGGTACTGTTGAAAGTGGTGGCCTTTTTTCCCAAAGGCTATCTTAAGTTTAAACCATAGGGGAAGAAAAACCAAACTAAGGTCCAGGCCAGTTGGAACATAACCTCTCACTTCCCCAAGAATTGTCTCCAATATATTTATGGGTGGTGAAGAGCTCATCCCACATGCTCAAAGTAATGAAAGCCTGCTTGTAGGCTAGTTTGGTGCTGCCGTTTTTAAATGTTACAAGTATCTCTTGTTTTGTTCTTTTATTTTATTTGTATTTTTTCTTGCTTTTAAAGCATTTATGAGCTGCAATGGGTAAATGGATACAGCCTTTTTTAAAAACTTCTCTCCAAAAATAGAAAACAACAACACCACAGTTAATTTAAAATACTCTTTATTGCATTCTTACTGAAGTTCCCCATCGAGGATACACCCCTACGGAATAATTTATACCAGCAGAATGCAACACTGGAAGATATTGCAACAATGTATCTCTCTATTCAAATCCTTTGACTTAAAACCAACTAAACTGAAACCTAATTTTTTTTCCAAAAACCAACAACACCTCACTTGACTGTCCCTTAGAAAAAGAAAAGCGCTCTTAAACTGAGATTTAAATAATTTAATGACATGGGTTTCACCCTTGCAAAATGCAAAATATGTCCTGAAACGTCTCAAACAAGACGATGTACTGCCGAAAATCTGTACAATTTTGTTACTTCATCAGACATGCAACAGCTCCATACTTGCTACATTAGTGTAGTTTTCACTTGAAGGTTGATAGTAACGTGGGTTTGCATTAGTTTTGCTTGATTTCCCTCTGAGATTGGTTAAAAAAAAAAAAAAAAATCTACACTACTCTCAACCAATCAAAACGACGGAAAACGAAAACCAATCACAGCTGCCCGCGTTTGGTTTTACTTTGAATTCTCATTGGCTCTCCAAAGTATTTCTCTTTCTTCTGATTGGCCGTTGTGATTACTTTGGTTTTGGCTTCACAACACTCATTCGAAGAGCGCTCTCACGAGAAGGTAATTTAAAACATAAATTAAACATGAATAGACTTCGTTTTTTCCACGGCAACTTGAGTGACACCGCATGACCTTTAGCGGGCCAGACAGAGATTGTTTTTAGGGAAGTCTAAGACCGTTAAGAGATAAGATCGTCATACAACGATCAACGAACGAAACTTCAACAGTCGTCTTAACAAATACAAACGCACACCGTCATTACCGGCCTCTTATACTTGTTTAGTTTATTCCTCTACGAACGCTTTTATCAAGTTACACTATAAATAATAAGAGTCATTGGATAAATAAAACATTAGCCTTTTTTCCGTTGTTTGACACCAAATTTCCAAAATTTTTTTTTGGTTTCCGTCATCGAGACGGTCACTTTTTTATCGTTTTTGTACATATTGAGAGCTACGTAGGACGAAAAGCTGACTTAGTGTAGGAAAATTGTCCTTGAAAGAAGGCAAAATTACTTTTGATTCAGAATGTTATCACAAATCTAACCAAGTACTTTGGCATCTTATAACGATTCACAATGTCCTTCCTCTCAGTGCAGTCAATTATCTCCGCCGCAGCTTTTCCAAGACCGAACTTGGATCCAATTCGATCATATGCCCCTGTGTGACTGAAAAATAATCAGGTAGTCATCGTTTGTACACTCCAGCAAGAGACCAGGATTTGACTTCATCTTGGATTTTGTCTCATCGTAGCTACAATCGAAGATCCTAATATCTGTTGAGCACGAATTCAAAATTGATAAGAAAACGTTAAATAATAATATTTTAAACTTGGCAATGAATTGTTCAGTTGCAAGAGCAACCTGGCCTTTTTTCAACAATGCGTTAGGCAGAACGAAAATAATGACTCCACAAAATATTTGCTGATAAAATTGTTTCCTCGCATTGACCTCGCGAAAGTTAGGAAAATCAAAATGACCGCTCACGTACATCTCGACTTCACTTTGACAGCAATATCAGTAAGTCGCAGGGTTGGTCGGTAACTAAGAGCATTCACTTTTAGAGCAATTTTCAGTTGAATTGCCAAAAGTACTCCGGGTTAGCATTGGTTTTGCTTTACTTTGCTCTGTGCTTTGTTTAGAAAACTCTGTACCCCTCTCTCAACTTCTCTAAAACCAATCGCGACTTGGTCACCCGCGTTTCCCGCGGTTGATCGAGCTCTCATTTGTTTTAAAAGGTACTGGCTTTCCTTTCTTCTGATTGGACTTTGCTTTTGGTTTTACGACACTCAGTCGAAAAGCGCCCTATAAGGTTAGTAAACTAATTATCAATGATTCCAAAATTGGGTGCGCAAGGACGTTAGGCGGACAGGAGCGATCGTACCTTGCGCCCTGTTTTCTAAGGTACACGCGAAAGACACTGTTGAAAGGATGCTGCATGTCATATTATGTGTAAGAGTAGTATAGTGTATAAAATGACCATCTACGGCGCCCAAACAACCGATTACCTGGCAAATTATCCGAACGCAGACATTTTATGAAGGGGATTTCAGATCACAGGAAATTAAAGGAGTAATGGAAGATGGACATACCTGACGATACGACACCAACAACTATTATTTACAGCATTTCTTCTTGCCAGGTTTTTCTTGCACGAGATTCAAAACGCTCTGCATTAATTCGTCTTCCCTCACTTGCAGCATTCTAAAACAGGAAGGAAGTTCAGAGGGTTATCCAAGACAAAAAAAAAACTGATATAAGAATCAGAAAGATAGAGTATCAAATTGGTGTACTCACTTGGAAAATTCCGCCATTGATTCCGTTATGTTGTACCCCGTTTTTGCGCTCGTTTCAGTGTACAAGGCTTTGTATTCCTGTAAGGCAAGTAGATATGGTGAGAAGATAAAGGGATAATCATTAATAATCTGTAAATAAGCTAACTATTAGAACGGTCAAAATGATAAACGGCCAGTCCATCAGACAAGGTGAGTGAATCAGCCAGCCAGTCCGTTTGTCATTGATTCTGTTAGTTAGTCGGATCATTTAGTTGGCCAGTTCATCAGAAAAAGTGAGCCAGCCCGTCCGTCCGTCCGTCACTGACCCTGTTAGTCAGTCGGATCATTCTATTGACGACTCAATGACAACGAAAACAGTTACTGAATCGGTCGTTCAGTACGTCAGTAAGGCAGAAAGTCAAGAAGTCAGTTAGTCAGGCAGTCAGTCAATTAATCAATCGCTTAAGAATGTACCTCAGCCAATTTCTTTCCTTCCTGACTCTGCACTGCTCGGTGGCTGTCATCCTCTACCAGATCAGTCTTGTTACCAACAATCATGATAGCTGTGCCGTCATCCGTTCCTTCCTGAAACACGTATACACATGCAAAAAATTAGTAACTATAAACCTGTTGTGTGGTCTGGCTTACCTATGATTTCCTCGTAACTCGGTTTCCAGTGAACTTGACCATGAAATCAGAAGTAAATGAGATTCACATCCGACGGGGATTCACATTTTTATTTTCCCACATTCGTCACAAATGTCCAGCATCTTTCTTCACAGGTTAACCCTTTGACTCCCAGGATCGACCTTAACCCTCTAACCCAAGAGAGGGAATAGCACTTAATTTCTCCCGAGTTACAGTATCATACTTGAATCACATATAAAGGTCATGAGAATGATTCCTTGAGGCGAAATGTAATAATACCTCCACGCTTATCATCCAGTTTTTTATGTTTAGATATGATGTCTCCATGGTGATGTCATAAAATACAATTACTCCGTCTGCCTTCCTGAAGTATTGTTTTGTGATGCTTCGAAATCTGCCAGATAGGAAAAGAAGATGGTATGAGAACAGTCCAACAGCAACCGTTACATGCCGCAAGCTTCGATCCGAATTATAAGTTGCATTCTTGTGGTCGGAAAAGTGTTCTCTATTTCAGAAACACACATGAAATAGATTCTATGTGGTCGTGCGTCTGTTACCAAATAGGTCATAAATGACGTCAATTGTGTTAAGAAATAGATTCTGTGTTGCCATGTTTGTTCAGTTATAGCTCACAGATGAAGTAAAAATGTAGTAGAAGCAAAATGGGATCAGAAGAGGCACAGCCTGGTCTTCCACTGATGTTATTAGGGAATACTTATGTACACACCTCTCCTGGCCAGCAGTGTCCCAGAGCTGCAGTGCAAAACATCTGCCATCTATACACATCGTTTTAATTTGGAAGTCAACCCCTTGACAGGTAAAACAACATAGCGAGTATGAGCTACAACACAATTCTTGTATCAAATTATTAACGTGTACACACGCCGGGAAATCCTCGATTCGATGTCTAAGGAAAATATCGAAACAAGAGCGTTTTGAAAAGACGTAATTGAACTGCTTGGGACTAAATTCCCTTAGAAATCTTCAACGTTTTAAGCTCCCCATGACAAAAATGGCCAATTGCCAATCGCAGCAAAGGGAAAGATCACGAGGGAACAATGGAAGTTCAACGAAAAACAAGCACACTGCCTAAAGCGCGGGAAAGCGTGGGTCACCAAGAGGCAGTTGGTTTTGATTGGTTGAGAGGGTAGTGCAAGTTTTCTGGACAAATCACTGAGCAGAGAAACACAAAACCAATACAATCCTAAATTACTTTCGACACTCAGCTGAAAATTTCTCTCTTCAAAACTGCATAAAAAACCTGTCTTGACTTAAGATTGACATTTCTACCCGCAAAATGTGTAATGAACTAAGTACCTATCGTTGCAGTGAATGAAGGTCTCCAAGCGTCATGGCAAAACCGGTGGATGAAACTAGACTTTCCTACACCAGAGTCGCCAACAAACACCACTTTGAAAACTCTTTCTGGTGTGGAGGGCTCACTAATCGTTGACACACCTGCTTCGCTCATGTCCTGCTGTGAGTTCCAGAAAGAAAAATATTAGTGAAAGAACTTGATCTATTCATGTGTTGACTTTCGACTTACAAAGGCTGTTCTAGATGTGGGTTACACAAACCGAAAATTTGAAAAAACAAACCAGCACAATAGCAAGGAAATAACAACACACTATTTGCTTGTGCAACATGAAAAAGCAGCTCACAATTGAAAAATTAGCAACGATGAATATGATAACGAGATGAAGCAAAACAATTTAATAACAGAAATAATAGGCCACTTTCACATAAACAAAACTCGATGTAAATAAAGTAATGTAAAGCCATCTCACAAACAAGTTTGAAGTAACTTTTATTGTGAGGTTGGGCAGACAAAAAACTTAAATAAAAAATATAATTTATCTTCAAAATTGAATTTAAATATCATAGAGAATAGTAGAAGTGCCACTAGGACATGCATACAGAAAATAAAAAAATGGGGACCGACAGGCAAACCACACCTGAAGCAGTATGATCGGGAATGCATCGCCAAAAAGAAACAATCGCCAAAACAGGAGACAGTTACAAACTTACTGATCCTACTCGATTCATTTCATTGTCCTTCCCGACAGGCGCTGCGCGTGGGGAGTTTGGTCTCTCGTCTGTCTCACTGCCAGTTTCCCCGCTCAATCCCTCAGAATATGACATGTCGGAGTCATCTTTCCCTGTTTTTAACCTGTTGGTGCCTGAAACAGGAAAGCATTCAGTCACTTATAAATATATACAGTCAGTTATAAACATGTAGAAGTCTTGGAAACTCAGTTTGTTATGAAGACATGCGCGCAAGGTGTGTAACACCGACATAAAAGACATGAGAGCGAAACCATGGTTTATGATATCCCATATTCCACGTTGCGTTCACGCACATTAGTGATCTCCACTGCACTTAATAAAAACTTTCAACTGTTTGACTTAAAGCAATTTCGGCAACGTTGCGAAAATATTTGTACTTTTGTGAATAAAAATAAAATATTTACCTAGTTTGAGAATTAGACGTAGTCAAACATTAGTCTTCCCAGCTTTTGTTTTTTTAATCTGTCTTCTATCCACTGTAGAGCTATTTCAATCAAACCTTCCGAGCAGCAAATAAGCGCTGACTGATTTAAATGTACACTTGAGAGAACAACTTACCATCACCAGATATCAAATCAGCTTTTCTTGTTCTGAACACGTCTTCTTCGAGTTCTTCGTCGCTTGTCCTCATCTGTGAATCTTCCCCCTCTTCTTCTACAGGCTCTAAAATATATAGCGTTGCTTGATTAAGTGTATTCGGTTTTTCTCGGTTCTCTTTACACAGTTTTTAGAACGGCAGTTAAGCAAAGTTTGTCTTACACCCCGACAGCATTATTTTAAGATTGGTTTCCTTTTACCAAGACGCATACCGGCACGTCTAGCGACTACTAATACGTCTACTCGCAGACACTCAACTTGGCAACTATGTTGGGAAACTAGTTATCTCTTTTTTTCCTCGTATAGCGGTGCCAACTATTTGACAAGTGTATGTTCCACCAAAATAAGTTAAACTTTATGGTGTACCACTCTGATGTGATAATGATAATGAAATCTGAATTAACCACTTCCAAAAAGGGCTGAAAGGGCTATTTCAAATAGAAAGAAATACACCAAATCGAAAACAAATAGTCAGAAGGTCGAAGGTATACTCTCTGGCTAGGTGAGGGGCGCCGCCGAACAATTGAACCATGGGTAACTGAGAACTGAAAGTCCAGTCCCCTAAAAACTCGGTCATGCTTCCTCTTCATAACATGATTTTACCTATGTCTCCATCATCACCCAATTTCAACAAATCGACTTTTCTTGGATCCCAGTAGCAAACAGGATGTTTCCCTAGGCCTAAGGTACCTAGTTACATGGAATGGCTACCTCTGAGAGTCATAAAAGTCCCACTAGGTCAGTGGCAAAGCATCCAAAGAACTGACTCCTCGAGGAGCAGTTGGAATTTCTTTTTTTCTCTACCAAATATGTCTGAGTCACTTGCAGGGAAGGATTGTTATTCATACCTTTAGGTTGCACACAAGACAGTATCTTTTGGGCCCAAGCCGGCCGCTCTTCCTCTTGCAGCTTCTCATCTGAGATGAGTTCAAGAGTCGGATCTCCTTCAAATTCAGCCTCTTCTCGTATGGAGTCAGGAAGGGACGCAGAGCTGGTAGTAAAAGAAAAGCAGTCTGTTTAAAGCGGAAATGTGCTCTTGCATTTAAAATATTAATAAAATATTACTCTCAGTGAGAGTAGTTCTGAAATGAACTGATGTCAGTAACATCCATTGACGTTTCGACCAACTAAGCAGAAGTGATTATCGGAGTTGTTTGTCAGTCGAATGCTCAAGTCTGAGTTATGAAAAACTGACCATGACGTTTTGCAGTGATGTTATTGGTGTTATCATTATCAATCTCACTATTTCTATCGTTTTTAGCATCATTTATAGATATTATTAGCTTGGATCTTGCTAGACACCTGCCATCGCTGATAAAATAAAACGGCAACTTAGTTGAATAGACAGGTGCAGACTCAATGAAGAGTGATAAATATATTACTAAGGTAACCAAATTTTTTCCTCTAAAATTAATTCCTCAAAGGACAAACCCAAGGGTACACAAGGTTCGAGTTAAAAAGCAGCGTCCTAACTCGTTTCTTGAAAATTTTGCGAAATGATACATCCATGGATGGCGGTCAGAAGATTACATTTTCCACGATCGCGGTCAAACAGCTAAAATATCGCTGAGTCGAATAGAGGTTTATCTTTCAAACTATTTAACATTCTTACTTGAAGCATTTAATTAAATCCTTTAAGTCGTCACCTTTTTACTTCCTTTATTTTCAGTGTTTTTTAGCATATTTTCATATGGTTTGAGGACCTTAGCTCCGCTCAACTTGAGCAGATCAGATTTAATTTGTAATATCTTCCATTTTTACCTACCTTTGCTTACCAGTACCAGCATTTGGGAAATACGAATGCAAAACAGAGCCCTGTTTCTTCATGTCGCGCCGTTTAGATCGCCTTCTTGCGGGAGGTCGTGCGGAGTCACTTATAAAAGACAGGTTTAAATCACGTTTAACTACATTTAAGAAAACCACTATTAACCACGAAGTTACTTCGTAAGATTTACTGCTTGTTCTTGCTTCACTACTTTCACCCGAACTTCATTATGCATATTCTCCATACAGTTCTTTACATATTTTCTAAGGCGCTGACAGGAAGAATTTATTTAACCATCAAGAACTTCTTTGGTTGGTTATCATTTCTTTTATTTTTGTGGCCTAAGGTGATATTGTAAGGAGAAATTAGATCCTAGTTCCTCCGGGAGGTCAAAGAGTTAACTTATCAAGGGAGTGCTTCTCATTTAGTGGAAATTATTTTCAGTCGTAACTAACCGACTAGGCAAGTTTTGAAATTCCATTAGAGTAGTGATTAAAATTCAAGAACTGCCTGATTTGGCCAAATAGATGTTATTATTAACGGATTTTTTTATTAAAGGACCAATCTCATCAGTCAGTTAAGCATAATGGCGATCATCTTGAGATAAAGTTCAAGGTTTTTTTAAGAGGTCTCCTCCACAAAAAAGGTAAAGTTTCTCTCTCTGAGGTTGAGTTTAGTGTTAAAACAAGCTTTGATGGAATTTACAAACTCTTTTAAATGCAAACTTATTTTGTCTTTTCGTTATTAGTTTTTGGTTCTAACCAATGTATGTTTATGTGGATTATTTGTCTCATAGTCTTATTGTGGTAAGTTCTCCTTTTTTCAATTTTTTTAAGTAATAATAACAACTTGATATCAATGATTAAAAAATGTGCAAGTGTTAAAATTATTTATATAGGATTGCAAATTTGTGCGACTTACGATGGTCTTAACAGGTTAAATAGCGAAATGCTTTTGGAAGAAAAATCAAATTTCACCCAATTCCCACTTCCCCCCTCCCCCCCTCATTTTTGCATCCTGGGATACCTCGAGTTCCTGTTGATAATGCGGGAAACACGATCAACAAAACAAGTACCCTAGCCCTTTCAATCTTTCAATCTCCCTGACCTCCCCATTACCCCCCCCCCCCCAAAAAAAAATGTCAAGTGTATCCACCCTCCTGTTGAAAGATGTATCCCTCTTATCCCAACAAACCTTATGTTAGGCCCGTCTACTTCCTCTTCACTTAACGATCCCACGGAACCTTGGTTTCCCCATGTTTCCTCCGCACCAGGGGTACGTCTCTTTCTCACGTACTTGGACATCTGGGAACCTTGCCGAGAAACTTTGGTCTTTTTCTGTCAAAAAAAACATTAGGGCATCAAGGAGGGGACGTTCTGTAGGTGGCTAGGTACATAATGATTCTAACCTGCCAGGGAATATTAGAGCTCCGGACAGCTAAGCACGTGGACGTCAAAATAACGTAATCAAGTAAGGACACTGTCAAGTCGAATAATGTTTATCAACTTCATTGACTTTCATTTTCCTAACCCTTCAAAGGACAAATAAATATTTCTTCAATTTTAGCCCTGTTCCATGCGAGGGCGCGATTTTCAACACAGCATGGCTCTGGGCGAAGCCATTTCCCATCGTGCTTGTTGTATTTCGCTTGAAACACGAGCCAATCCGGATGTGAGGAGAAATTTCATCTCTGACTAAACTTTTCACTGTAAAGAAGGCCCTGGGAACGAGATTGTTTTCCTTCCAAGCTGTTAAAACGTTTGAATATGTTTACACTTGTTTACATACATAAGTTTGCCTTCATTATAAGATTACTTTCACAGTATCTTGAACAAGCAACAATTAACTTGAAGCAACATTAGACTTTCAAATTTCTGTTACGTAAGGCAGTCAAAATTGTACAAGATCTTTGATGATATCGTGTGCGGAGTTTTAACTCAATAGCATTAAGCTTTTTTTTTTTTTTAACTCAGCGTTCACTTTTAATTTACACGCCACGCATTATAATCCAAAGTTAAAGAGTGAGCTTTCACACGTTCTTTGCGTAAGAACGCCTGAAGTTAATTTACGCTGTATCTGAAAAAGGCAAATATTCAAAAGGTGTAGATATCTTAAACCAAACCTGAAAATTTCAAATTTAGTATTTTATCTTACCTCGGCTTCTTCAATCTCATCACTGAGACTGCCATATCCTCTTTCCTTTTTCTGTTTAATAAGCAGTACTTATTAGGCCTAATTTAAAGTACGTTATGCTTTACGCCTGGCACTAACATTTGACAGTTTATTTCAAATTTAAAGAAGTCTACAAGTTTGTGCTTATATGAGGTCCAGTTTGGTGATTGATAGAAGCCCTCCTCGACGGCCCAAGTGCACCATGCATTTGTCGGAGCGATTGGAGCGTATTTTAATTGAGTTTCGTAAAATCAAAACCAAAACAATCACAATGACCAATCAGAAGAAACGAAAATATCATTAAGAGCCAATGAGAACTCAAAGTAAAACCAACCAAGCTGCCTAAAGCGCGGGAAAACGCGGGCGACCAAGTCGTGATTGGTTTAAGTTTTGCATCTGAGTGGTTGAGGGAGTGGTGGAAGTTTTTTTTTTGACCAATCACAGAGCAAAGAAGATCAAAACCAGTGCAACCCCGGATAACTCTCGACCCTCAATTATAAATTGTTATAAAGAAGGCAAATCACGGTAACAGTTGAGTTAGGAGTCTTTCCTTAAGGTCACACAAACTATTGTTTCAGGAAAGTTACTTTGTATGTTTAAATGGTACACCATGTTTGCTTGCGTTGGTTGCGTTAGTTGAACGTTTTTGCCTCATGCCTGTTAAAGGGAGGATTTGAAAAGCCTTATCACAGCCACTTTCTATAGAGTCGCACAACAGTAGGAATAAACCTTTCTCCAAAATGGCGCATAAATTAAACATTTTAGGAAAAACAACCCTCAGAGCAGAAAATTACGCAGTCCAGGTAAGCGACAATGAAACCTCTATTCTTGGATATAAAAATACGACATTGCTCACATTTGAAAGCGTTCAAGAAGCCAGAACATTACATCCAATTTCTACAGATTCCACATAAATTTTCTCTTCTGGAAAAAACTCCAGGCCAAAATTAAACTCTGGAGGATTACCAAGCGAATGTGCTTGTTTTGAAGCTGGTGTAAATTTCCGGTAGAAATTAATATTTACTGGTTGAGGTTGCAGCTGCGATCTTGGAGAAGGATCTCCCGTGACGTGGCTATTTAAACGGTGGCTAACAATGACAGCCGGTTACGAGAGAGGTTTAAAATAATAATAAGAAATTAAAAAAAATTAAGCCAGCTAAACATCGAAACTTACCTCAGAAAAATTACAATTTAAGTTTTAAGATTTAAAAGAGAGATCAAAGTATTTAACTCGTTGGTGTAAAGCAATGATTAGTTGTTACTCCTGAGAATATATTTTAAAATAATTTAATTCGATGAACAATTTTTCTCTCATAGAAAACTATGAAAAAACCTTCGTACACTCGAGGGAGAATTAAAAAACATGTTAAGGCTACCGAAAAAAAAAAGAACAGAATAAACCAAAACAAAATAAAAAAATCAACAAGCCAAAAAAATCAAGAAATACGTACAGCCATTAACATCTGTGGCGAATCCCATGGGAAGGTCCAGCACAAGCGCAGCAGGCATTGGCAAAAATAAGTCAGTCAGTTAGAGAGAATGATTATCATTGCAAATTATTTCTTGATTAATATCTTATTAACTAGTATTATATCGAAATTATCATCAAGTCAATTTAAGTTGGGTAAACTGTGCCATCATTAATAACGTACGTACGTCGACAGTGTTAATTTGCTTTTCCATTACTCATAGCTTTTCAATAAGTAATTGTTACGACAAATAGTCAGTGAACGGCGTCAGTAAAGATAATTATAAGGAAGTCCTTTGGTCAGGTTATCAAAACAGGTCTGTCAACTTTTCGACAAGTTAAACCAGTTTGGGGCTTACCGCTTGATGTGCAGCCTCGATTGCATCCTTGTCATCTCTGAGCTTCTGATTCATATCCCTTTAATGAAAAGTAGTAAAGATAAACAAGCAGTTAGTTTTAAGTGTAAGTACCGAGTTTCAGAGGCAAACAAGTTTTAAGTTTCTGATTGCAAAGATGGCTAAAAAACAGAGCCCAAAGATAGCTACAAAACACGATGGAGTGATAGACAAGTTTCTCCCGAGCTATGAGCAGTTGTTAATTCGGTTGCAGAGGCAAAAACGATTTTAGGAAGTTGTATGTAGCTTCTCTTTTATACTTTGAAAACATTGGCAAAAACAAAAAGGAAACATAGAATCAAAAATCTAAAGTACTATAACTCTGACCACAGCAATAATACCCCAATCAATTCTGTATGTTGCAAAAATGACTCTTTAACACAGGTCCCTTAAATTACAGTAACTGGAAGGGGCGCTTAACCCTTTACATCCTAATATCAGTATGCATAGTCTCCATTCTGTTCTGTATACATTTCCAAAGGAACCAACAAGGAGAATTTGTTGAACGGTAAAGACCTTGTTTAGTTGATGATCATTTGCTTTATTCTCGTACCATTAATGTATGATTCAGGGGTGATATTGTGAGGGAAAATTGGATATAAGTCACTCTTTGGGGCCAAAGAGTTAACCGCATCTCAACAAGAGCTTTACTTGACTTGCCGTATGGAAGAGAGCATCGTCCTAAATAAGCAATGAAGCTATGTTACCTGAGCATATCCAGCTGCTTAATGAGACTTGCTTGTTCCTTTTGCATACCTTCTGACACTCGCATAGCCGCCCTAAAACGCAAAAGTGAAACTTTGTTATCGAACATTAAACCTCTGCCTTAACAAGGCAACCATTACACGGCTTTCTAATTTAATACGAGCCCCAACCAATCGCAAGATTGTTGGGAACATGAGCCGCTCATCTTTAAAAAATGAGCCATCATTAATCAATGTAGCTGGCATTCCCTAAACTTCAATCATTTTTCTTGATTTAGGTTTGGATTACGAATTTTTACCAAAAGTAACCTTGACAAGGTAGTCGAAGAAGATCGAATGCGCAGATTTACGGAATCATAAATGTCTCAGATCATAATAACATAGGACAAGTTGGTTACTTCAACAACGAATTGTACATGATGATAGCATTCAGATGAAGAAAACATGCCACAAATAGCGCTTGCTGATTAACTGAATCGCTGGAACGACTTGTTTCTCTATCACGTAAAGCTAAACAAAGGAACATCGACAGCATTTTTCTCGCAAATAAAGTTATCACTTATTTTACTTCTTAATCGAAAGGCGAAGAACCATGAAGGTATTTACGTTTGATAATTGAAAAAGAGAGAGAGAGAAAGAAAGAAAAGAAAATACCCTTTCTCAGCATCACTTGACATTTCAGCAGAATTGCTCAAGTGCGCATGTTGTTCAGCGCAGTTTCCACAATCGCACAACATGGCTTGACAGCCTTTGTCTAAGATTTCCACAACTACAGAAGAGCTTACTGGCGAAAGTGGTTCCAAACCGTTATTTTTGCAAAGGTTTGTTTCGTCCATTCCATGGAAGAATTGAAATCCCATGACGGATTCCTCAATAGTGTCGGGGCTCTTGCCATAGGTGGCTGGACGATGGCGAGACGCCATCTGGTTTGGCGGACTGGAGATCTCTAATTGCTGGTCGCTGCCTTCAGCAAGAGATAATTCAAAGTCTTGAGAACCAATAGGCCCATCAATGGAAGACTTGGAATCCGTATCGTCCAAACCGTATGGTATTGTTTGGCATGCTTTTGACAAAATTAAGAAGATTTCGTCATCCAGTTGCGTCTGGCTTTCTTTGTTCTCACAGGCCATAGCCGTGTCTAAAATTGTCGTCTGGCAGAGTTTTGAAGATGTAAGGAGGATATCTCTCTCAGGCTTTGTTTGACTTCCTTTGTTTTCACAACTTATGGTAAGCGCATTTCGATGAAGAGGGTCAGAGGACTTATTTCTAGCATCCTCGCCACCCACTTCCATCGAATCGAAACGGTCCCACAATGGATGATATAGTTCATTTGTTGAGTCAGATATTGTTTGGCACTGTACGCTGATATTACTAACGCTTTGATCATCCTTAGAACTTTTAGCAGCATCAGTTGTATCCCATATAACTTCCTCCACTGTCTGGCATTCCTTTGACTCGGTTTGACTGGCGGGGAGAGTTTGGCATCCTTTGCTGTCGAGTGTTGGTCTATTTCCGTTCCCAGCGCTTATAGTTTCGAAAGAAAAGGTCTGACAATGTTTGGACGTCGCCAAAAGAAGTTCAAGGTCACGCACTGTTTGACACTCTTTTGTATCGAAGGAAACAATCCGGGATGTTTCGTTTTCTCGTGTAGCTACGTCACCAACATCAGTGAAGGGAAGTATGTCGCACTGGGCTGGTGATGAAACGAGCACAACATTAGATGATGTTTGGATTTCTTTGTCCGAAACGCCAGCCTTGTGATATGATGTCCATCCCTGAGGGGCCTGCGCTCCGCCAGTGATTAACAGAAGGCTCTTCTGAGACGTTTGACATCCCTTGCTTTCAAAGGAAATATCTTCAACTGCTTTACTCCCAATAATCTTAGCACTGCTTTGAAGAAGTGATAATTGTGCAAAATCATCTCTTGCAGGACTTGTCTGACATTCCTTCGATGATGTCGAAATATGCCCATATCCAGAGATTGTCTGGGATTCTCTCTCAGTGTATCGGCATTCCTCTGGTAGCTTATCGTGAATTTCGAATAAATCTACAGGGCCTCCACACCTGACGCAGCAAATGGTAGGTAACTCCGTTTGACATTGGATACTTTGGTTTTTCAATGTGCCTCTAAGATTAGGTAAGTCGCTGACCTTATTTGTTTGACATCCCGTATCTGTAGCACCGTTCAAAAAAGAAGTCTGACTTTCCCTTGATTCGTACTTCCGGAAATTATCCTGTAGGATTTCTACTTGGCATTGCTTGTCAAGACCCTGCACGGCTGAATAGTCGGTATAGTGTTCATATAATGGAGCAATTTTGAAATTTTCTTCTGAGTTAGAATATGGGAATGTAGCTGAAACGGTTAAAAGTCTTTGATGACAAACTTCCTTTATCCCAAAATTGGCCTCTGTTTCACAAAAACTTTCATTTTCCTTCGGTGATTCAGTGTGATCAGAACCATATGACGAGCGTCCACTTAATCCGTCTGCTGGTTGCACCAGGTGAATTTTTCTCGTTTCAGCTGGTTCACGGATTTCCTCACTCACAACCTTGCTTCCTACATATGCAAGGGCGTCACTGTCAGTTTTCATGTTAATATCTCCTGCACTTGAGTAACTGTTTTCAGGATACGTCGAGTACGGTGCATCGTTTCCATAGACTTCGATCACCTGATCTTCAGAAGAGTATTCATCCATGTCATAGGTACAAGAAATCTCGTTTACCTCATTGCCTCTCATTTCCTCGTCGCAGACTAAACCGTCATCTGTCTTTCTAATTTCTAGGGATTCGGAGGGACTTGAACCCATCTCCTGTTCGGAGAAAAAGGCATTTCTTTCGACCAAAAGATCACCGTCAAGCTTCACGCTTTGAGATCCGTCTTCCCACTGACAATCGTTGTCGGTAGAAGCTACATAACAAACATTCTCCACTACGCATAGCTCCTTATTGCTAAATTCTCTGTCTTCGTGATCACTTTTAGGATCTAAGGAATCTGCATCTCGCTCAACGTAGCCGCCAAATTCTTCAGAAGAGCTATTAGCTCTTGATTCATCGTTAGGGTATCTGTACGGCGTGTTAACGATCTTCTCTAGTCGTGAAGTTTCTGTCCAAGTGGGAATTCCTGTTGACGATGTTAGGTTTTTCCTATTATCATCCTCCTTGAGGACAGCGTCTGTGAGCGTATTGAGAGATCGTAGCGTCTTCTCAGCATCTTTATCAGCATCTGGAACTTCATAGTCATTGTTTAAGATTAACGAATGGCCTGTGGAGAAAGATTTAGACTCGATGTCATCCCACACAACTACTTCATCCCCAGGCAGGATAGGGACATGAAGGTTATTTTCCTTCCTGGAAAAGTCAGAAAACTCGGAATCATCCCCATCGCTATTTCGACCACCGTTGTCCGGAGTCGGAATGTTTTCTAGAATCTTGCTTTCCAGTTTTGGTTTTGATGATGCGTAGGTCTCCTTGGGAGGCGCATTAAAACAGCTTTGAAGGTCGATAGTTCTGATTTTAGAGATTTTTTCCGTGTCTACCAACTTTTCATTGCCTTCAAAATTTGGCTCTGAAGTTGCGGTACTCTCTTTTAAAGAGGGTGTTGTCGAGGAACTTTGTTCATCTCTGGAGCTAGTTCCCGGGTTTTCTTCATTCAATCTACTAATCTCTCTTCCTTCCAACTTTGGTTCTGAAAATGTGGACGTTTCAATAAAAGAGGGCGCGGTCGGGGAACTCTGAAAATAGCTGGAAACTGTTTTTGGCATTTCAGGAGTCATCACTGAATGTCCACTGGCTTCAAACTTTCGCTTTGAAGATGTGACACTTTCCTCAGAAGATGGCGCGGTTAAGGAGGTCGGATGACCATTAGAACTAATTTGTGGGATTGGATCCGTCGCTTTCCTTTGTTCATTGCCTTTTATCTCTGGTTTTGGAGATGTGCCTCTCTCTATACAAGAAGGATCTGCCAAGAAACTCTCTTGTTCTCTGGAACTGATTTCCGAACTCTTTTCTATTAATATCTTCTGTCCACTGCCTTCCACCTTTGGTCCTGAAGACGCAATAGTCTCCAAAGGGGCTATCAAAGAACTACGAGAACTGATATCTGGGATTTCTCCTAGAAGTCTCCTTTGGCTCTTCCCCTCCAACTCTAGCACTGAGGTGGTGACACTTTCCATAGAAGGCTGAATCGAAGACTTCGGATGAGTGCTTGAACTGGATTGCGGCATTTCTTCGGTCAATCTCTTCTGTGCACTTCGTTCCAACATCAGCTCAAACATTTTGGCACCATCTTCTGAAGAATGAGCTGTAAAGGAACCCTGAGGTTCCCGTATTTCTTCCCTCGATATCCCATGTGTTGACGCAAAATCATTCTCCAACTCTGGACTAAGAGAGATACTTTTGTCGTCATGGTCTGCTAAGGCAAGGGCCCGATCTGTCGTCGATTCCAGAAGTGAAGTGGATTTCAACGTTCCTTGACTGCTAGTCGTTTGCGAAGGATACGAAGTACTGAAATGGTCGCTTCTCACAAATGTTTCTCGGCTAACATCTTCTGTCGAAGAGTTCGCCCTTCCCTGATCTTGCTCTGTGTGGAAATATCTTTTGGAAGCTTTCTCCCCACAAGCCGTTTCTTGGTACAAACTTCTTGGATATCCAAAGGTTGTTGTCCGGTGTTCTTCAGGTCTTTCAGTTGAGTTTCGTTCTAAACATTGTACAGTCGAACTGAAAGGTTTCAAAGAGAATTCACTTTTTATCGTCGGAAGAAGTTCGTCTCCCTCAGTATAAGTTTCTGAAAGACGCTTTATTTTCTTGGAGTACCCTGTTTCACGTTTGTCTTCCTTGGCCGCCTTTCTCTTGGTTTCGTTTTGTGAATCAAGAAACGAAGGGAAATCCTTTCTCTTGCATGGTTGCTTTGCAATTTCCATATCATTTTCAGCACTTTTCACATAAGCGGTCTCCTCATTTGCTTCCAAACCAATACCTGGTGTCCTGTTAGGTTCTGGGCTGGCGATATCCATTTCGTCTCTCTGATAACTCACACCATCTCCCTTCCAGGTATCATCTGTATCCATACTCACTTCTGTGGTTCCACCTGAAAAAGCTGGAGAGCCACTTTCTTTCCGGGTGGCCTTAGCAGCGAAGTCGCCAGCACCTTTAGAAATGCTATCATTTTCATTGAGATCTACACCATCACTGTTGTTGGCCGCATTTAGCTCAACACCTCGATCTATACTCCAGTTTTCAGTAGTAATTGGGGAGTTTTGCCTTGGCCTTTCAAAAGAATCGTGCCTTGCAATTTTTCCTCTCAGATTGTTAAGAGAAACTTCTCTTGATTTGGGAACACCTAAATTAGCCTGATTGCTTTCAGAAGTCTGGCTTAAGGTGCGCTTTCCTTCACTGGAATGCTCGAAATCGTCCAAATCAGATACGAGCGTCACGCCCATATGACCTTCTGGATGCGGTCGACCACTCTTTAACAGACATACTTGCCACTCAGAGTCACAATCGCTGTTGAACAGGAGGGAGCCCCTGATAGAATCATTTATAGTCTGTTTAACAGGGGTCATTAACTCAGTCTTCCTTACAACAGCGTCATACTCAAGCGGTGTACTTCCATGTACTTTATCTATTTTCAACTGCGCTTCTGGACTTGAATATTCTGTTCTTGCTTCAGGATTTCCACGTTCTGTCCGATCTTGCCAATCACTACTGAGATCTAATGAAAAGGTTGCAGAATTCAAAGCTGAAGAGGGTTCCTGAATATTGATAAAGTCATCTCTATGTACCTCGGACTGGTCTCTTAATCTTCCGTCTTTCAATCCGTGTTGCCTTTCCAGATAGCTTGCATGCATTTCTTTTGACAGAAACTTTGAATCTTTCATCCTGTCGTTTTCGTTACGCAAACCCTGTTGCTCTACTTCACTTGGCTTTCTCCGTGGTCTTCGGACTTTCGGGGTCCTACTTATGGCCCTAACACTTACATCGATCGGTCGTTCTATAAAGCCTGATAGGTGCGACTCTAAAGCGGTGCCTCGTTCATCTTTTCCACTAGTGAGCGATCCCGTCATTGAATGTGCAAGTAAGTCTTGGTCATCTCTTTTCGCATTTTCCCGCTGTTTCTGCTTTACTCGTTCGTCAGCTGTACGAAACTCGTTTCCTGCATTAGTCGACATCCGTTTCCAGACGCCGCTTGCCGGAGTGACTTTCTTTGACCGAGAAAAGGCATTCATCCCATCTTCCGCGGAAAAGTAGCCATCATTTTCACCACCACCATCATTGCGACTTGCCGTTAGAGAGAGAAGATCTTGGGTAAAACGTTTGTTTCCGTCGAAGGCTGGCAAACGGCCGTCATGATCAGTGAAGTTCTCCATGTTATGAATGGAATTTCCTCGATTAGGATGAAGCTTTTTTGTATCGCAGCTTCTTCCACTTTCTCGATCAACGCTAGGAGGATTTCCTTGAGTTCTAAACACTCCAAATACGATCCTACGGCCACTCTCATTGCTTCTTTTGTTTTGGGCTCGTGTCCCCTCCGAGTCATTGTTCTCACTCCCAGCACTTTTCGTTTCATCTCGACGAGTCAGAGCTTCTTCCAAATCTCGTGGATACCGTACTTCACGCCTCCTCGATCTAGGATACGTTTGCTGCGAAACTTCATTCCGAAACACTCTGACAGCAGGTCCACCAGAAATTCCTGAAACCACACAAGCCATAACTCCTTCGTCGCCTTCTTTTCCTCCAGATTCTCTTCTCTCTCGAGATGGGTCGCTGCTGTGCTTTTTTTTACGATCCATCTTGTTGACCCTGGTGGGAACGTTTCTCTTCATTCTTTGGCTCCCCCGTTTTCCAACGAGTGCGAAGCGCACAAAACTACTGTCAGCACTGCTTGTGGATGAATAGCCATCTTCAACAACTTCCGAGCTGTCACACAATTCTGAATCTTCCGAAAACAAATCATCCAAGCTGTCATGTATTCTGCGTGACGTGTTTTGTAGACCGTCCGAATTGACCTCTTGACCACGAAACCAGGGGTCTGAGTTAATATTATCCTTCTCCTGATTACAGCTCGATAGGGCAGAAGTTTCGATGCCTTCCAGATGTTCCCGAAAACGTTCTACATCCTTTTGGTATCTGTAACTTCCTTTTGAGACGGCTTCACTTGAAAAGGATCGAAAGGTCGGGGGATTTGAATCACTGAGTCTTTTCGTGCCTGATATGTTATGCAAATAGGGATTAACCTCATTTTCTTCGTATAAACTTTCTTGACATCTATCACTCAAAAACACTGAATCTTCTGGAGAAAAATGGCTTGGAATTCTATCTCGGTTGTAGCGTTGTTCGGAGTTACTGGAAAGACTTGGACTTTCCCGCCATGATTTGGCAATTTCCTTGTCATCACTCGTAAATGACGTTTCGCTACCGCTGCTAAGAACATTAACGTACTCCAGATAAAATTCAGAAACCTCTCGCTGACCCTGAATTCTAGAAGAACCATCATCGACATATGCGTCAACAGCGATAAATTCTGGAGATTTCTCTGAAAACGAACCAGACTTCAAGGATTCCGTCGTTCCCTCACTCAAGTCGTTCATACTCGATGTGGGCGACTCATGGTAGACAACGTTGACGAAACGACGAAACTGGGGATCCAGTCGACTTACGTAAGTTGGAGCAGTTGGCGAATAAGACATCTGAGCTATTCGTGTACCGATCCAACAAAAACAATGACGACAAGGCTTTTAACTAAACTGTGAACTTGTAACTTCTGTGGCGAATGTAAGACTACAAAAGGTTGTGTAATCCAAGAGCTTTGGTTAAAACTTTACATGGCATTCATCAATCAATCAACTTTGATGATGTTGTGATGAGATTGCACGAACAGCTCTCACTGTGTAAACAGCTTGCAACCATAAATTGGCAGACGTAATTGCTATACCACCTATACACACATGTACTTAAAATTCTTGCATAAATAAATATTCTACGGTTGACAGCGGTATGAAATTATCGAGATTTTTCCTCAGAGTAAAACAAAGAGTGATGCAAGCAGCGCCAAAGAAATCATTGGACATCAACAACGACATTTCATTAATTTTCCCGAGTTATAGAGGGGCTAAGTAATATTTCTATATTGAGATAATAGCCCTAACTTTGCTCAATTTGCCCAACTAGAAAACATCTGCAGGGACCTAAGACCGCCGACGCGACAAAAACCATTAACGTCGTTTAATGACAAGACGGCACAAAAAAGAAAATTTTAGTTAAACAATGCAGCAAATACATATCAACTTCGATACTTCAGTTTATAAACTAATTTCCCTTTTGCTTAAAAGTAAACAAACAAAACTACCCTTATCTCATTGATGTTTTGATCATTTAGATCTGTTATCACTGTGTAGAAAAAAATTTTCAAACGCAATCATTTTTGGTGTTTCCTTATATTTAATCACGGTCATTTAGCGGAGACGCAGTCAAAATGCGAAAGGGTCATCTTACTATTATTAACTACAATGTTTTCATTCATCTGACCTCTGCAGGTTGCCTTAGTAATTTTAGTTCATAGCTCCCTCGATAGTTTTTTTTCCTCCCTAAAGAATCAAATTAACGGGCTTAAGACGTACTTAAGTGCACCTCTTTCAAAGTAAATCCGAGAAATTGTCGGCGGTCAAAAGAACAGGAAAAAGAGACATAACAGTTTCCGTATTACCAATCAAAACAATATACTACAGTCCCCGAACAAAACGCATACTTAACAAAGAAAAAGCGCAGCATTTTAAGCGGCGGCACCTTATTTAAGCACCGACTTCGAGCTAAACCTCTGGTTTTGTGGTATAAAAATAGAACTCGACTCTTAAGATCAATATTGCTATGTGCTAGAATTTACCCTGAAAAAAATAAATCTGAGCCCCCTATTCAAAATGCCACTTCTACTCCGAGTGCCACAGCTGACATAGCTTTGTGGAGTAACACAAGATGTGTTTATCCGGACTTTTTCAATTTTTAGGCAAGAAGCTAGGTCAGGAATGTTCTAATCTACCGAAATTTGCATTTTTAATATCTATGTCGTGTTTACCAAGCGTAGAATGATCTAACACGCCAGGGCAAATACGGACGTCAAATCAAGAACCACATACCACGAGGCACAAAATAATGGAATATTAATACGTGTCTTTTAGATTTTACAACTAATAGCGCGGTTTTTTCGCGAGCGTCAAAGGCTGTCACAATAGCAGGGCTCTATATTGCTCTATTTTCTACTGTCTGAGACAATTTTATGGAGCAGCCGGTTTTTTTATTTTCCCAGCTCTACCATGTACCTTATCTTAAATTTTATAGATGTCCTTTAACCAAGCTATACCCAAATGGTATTTAAATTTTAACAGAGAACCCACAAACACGCTCGAGAGGGGGATAATTTACATCGTAACCCCTTTTCCCTTCCCTCAATGAAAGGAAAATAAAAAAAATCTTTTAAAATATGAAGCTTAATATGTGTAGGCGTCGAGTGAACCTAGAACAAGGACGTTAAAAACGACAGCCTTCGATTTCTAAATTTCGTCCACCACTTTTCCCTTGGGCATTAAAAGCTAAAATGCAACTCAAAAACATGGCTTGACTCCGACAAAAAGAACGATTACCCTTTTGAAGAGACTTCGGCCACATGAGGCATGGAAGTTATGTAACTTGAAAATCGCGGATTTACCCATGAATGCTTCGATGGATCACATTTGTTTTTCTAGGCGTAAGAGAACTCTCCCGGTAAGGATTGGTTTTATGTGTGCTGGAAAGCACCACAAAGAAATAGCAGGTGAATAATAGATCGACTGAGATGATCCAAGTTTGGACCGGCAAAAAACAGCAAGGTTTTAGAAGGGAATAGGCCCTATTTTTTTTCACAGAACGTAGCTTTTGTCCACCTACACGGTTTTTTTGGATCGTCGCCGCTGACCGAGAGACTAGGAGAGAGTAGCAAACTCTTACCTTGCCCGTTCTTTCTTTTCCAAAGCAGTTTGAGCTTGAAGTTGGTTGACGTAGCTCTTTGTATCTTGTAACGAGCTGACAGAATTACTCAACATCTCCTCCAGGTGCATTGTTTTCTAATTGGAAAACGAGATTTACATCAATCGTGGCCAATAAGACGAATGAAACGTCTACAAATGCTGCCTCTAAAGTGGGAACTGAAAGGATCGCATCTTGATAGTAGTTTTGAGCAGGTCTACCGGTTAAAGTAAGAGGTAGGGACCACAAGTAGCTCAAGATCTTTAGAAGAAGTGCACTTGTACTACGTTGCTATTTCGTACTAGTAAAAACGTAAAGATTTGCATGGTGAAAACGATTGCATTTTGAAACAAAGAGTCCAATATTTAAGTACTTAAAAAAAAATTAGTGACGATGCTTCAGTTGACCGTTCTTTTGCCTCCGGTGTGATTTTTAAGACGATTTTTACCGAGAAATTTGGTCAGTGTTCAGTTTCCGCGCATTTCCACATATAAACTTTTAAATCTGTAGTATGAGCAGGAGAATCTTAATCAAGGTAGTACATACATTTTCTTATATAGAGCTTGGGCTACTTGTGACAGAAAAAAAGAGAGAATCGGCACTGTATGGAATTCCTCATATATGGCCAAAGAGAGTCCATGTGAAGTTACTTTTTGTTTTAACGCATCCAATCAACCGCAAATCATCCCTCAGCGGAAAGCATAAGCCTGGCACATCTAACATGAAAGACTACGTAAAGACACCCAAAATCTCATGACGAGTGACTTAGCTAGCTTTGTTGCACTCACCTGAAAAAGCTTCTCATTTTCGCTCTTGATGTCTTGCTCCATTTCATGCTTCCTCTGAATTTCGTCTTCAAGCTGAAAAGAAGAGATTGAGTTTGAGAAAGAGTTTTGAGCAGCCCTGGAAGGCAGTAACTGTATTTTGTCCAGCAAGACTACTTACTGAGTCATCACAAAAAAAGCTTTCTCGCTAAAATGTTTTCCCTACGGAGAGATTTTGAAGAAGAACGAAGCAGCAGGAGATGGGGTCTTAATATGTTACGGTCTCAGAAACCCGTCACTGCCAGAGTTTTTCCGGACTTTTGCAATGTGAAGCTCTTGAAGAATTTCTTCCTTATCAAGAGGCTATATCAGCACAGGTAACCACTCAGGATTTTTTCAAGTTTCCTCTGACACTACACTCCAAGGCAGAAGGAGAAAGGACAACGTCTTGCCTAAACACGCACCACAACAAGGTTACTATGGCTCGAGCCCGGGCCTCTTTCAATGCGTGCACAGGAGATCTACCTCTGCGAAAGTAAGGTCATCCTTTAAATTTACTCCACTGCCAGAGTTTTGACCTCCATGGCGCTTTACCCTTTCTCAATAAATATTCTGCAGCTTTTTCCACTCACAAATAACACGCATCGTTTCTGTCTTCCCCCTCCCCCCAACAAAAAATGCCATCCCACGTTCAACACTGTCCTGCTTTGGCTCCAATAGGAAGTCTTTAGGGTGTCCAACAGGTGCAAGAGGAAACACACAGAAACTCTATGATGGAAAACGAAAATAGATAGATAAATAAATGAACTCACCGCTTTTTGTTTCTGTAACAGAAGCTGCATTTCCAACTCTTTGTTCTCCAACTCGTGGACAAGCTCATCTTTCAAAGCTTTTTCCCGCTTTATTTGCTGCAAAAACACGAAATTAACAAAAAGCCTCTCAATCCAAATCACAATTTATCCCTCTATGACACCTGTTATCTGTATGCATATTCTCTATACTGTTCTCTATACATTTCAATATTAACTGCAAAGGAGAATGCTTTTGACAAACAAAAGTGTCTTTGGTTGGTGATCATTTCCTTTTTCTCGAGACTTTAATGTTTGATTCAGGATTGCAATTGTAAGGAGAAGTTAGATGCTTATCACTTTTAGGGTCAAAGGTTGAACCCTTTAACTCCCAGAAGTGACTAACATAAAATTTCTCCCTACAATATCCATACATTATTCAGCAAACTGGTAATGAGAATATTCAAACTTATCAGGTAGAAGCTGCTAGCTTGATCTAACACCAAGTTCTCATAACTCATTTACAAGGAAATGTGTAGCAGCTAGAGGGGAGAATTAACAGTCAGATCTTGGTACTTAGAGGGTTGACTGCTGCATCTTCTCTAATAAATAGAAAAAGTTTGGATGGCATGAATTACCTCATTACGTATTCTCTCTCTCTCGGTTCTGATTTGTAGTTCCATCTCCTCGTACAACCTTTGAACCTCTTTGTCATGAGAATTGGATTTGCTGTTATACGAAAGAAAAAAAAACAACTATCAGAACACAAGTATTTAAACTACGTGAAACTGTTGCATTATTTAGTGAATTCATCATCACATTGATGTGTTTGGGGAAGAAGGTCTTGTATCACTTTGCTTGGTTAGGATAACAAAAAGTGATCATAATATTAGCTGTGAAATAAATCTACTGTTCTAATTTACATTCTGCACTTTTTTCAAAATGTAGTTTTCCCATAACAAACTTTCATCAATGCCCACAATTCTTCAATGTAACCAAGTAGTAAATCAGTTAATTTCTAAATTAGATTAGATTTAACTAAATCATCATGTTTACATAATTAATTATCAAATCAATGATTTAAATAAGTTTTCTGTGACAGCAGAGTGAAACAATCTAATATGTAACATGCTAGTGCAGCTGAAGAACAAATTTAAAGTAGCTTGGAGTAGTATTTTTTCCTTTCTTTGGTTTTGATAGACTGAGACCTCATTTCTTCTCGATAACTTAAATGCATG